AAGATATCCATAATCCATTTCTCGAATAGAAGGATTTGGCGTAAAATTCGGCAGGTAGGTAAGCGATAACAGATGCGGCAACAGGAAGGCGCTTCAGTTTGCGCAGCACAGAGACAAGTCACATGTGCCTGTAATTTCTCCAGCACCCTTACCCTTCAAAACCGGAGCACAGTTACGCTGACGTAGTTGGCGCCAAAAATAGGTAAGTGGCGAAAGAAATAGCTAAGGTGGCAGTACTACTCTGTATGAACTCTTTCACAAGGAGCTCTACTGCTACTAAATATTTTATTATTTATTTTAGCATTTATATTTTAACAGTTATATAAAATAAATATTTATTTATTTTCAATTTGGGTAATTAACAGCAAATGACATTGATGTACCTAATAACATGATAAAGCTGTAATAATTCAGGAAACATTCGCAAAGTGAATTTTATAACGGAATCGTCTAAAAGTCATGTAATAGTGTTAAATCGTATGACAAAGCAGCAAATCTAGTGTAAATATTACATAAATCCTTCCAGTTTATCGTATGTGTGTAACTAGTTCTGTGTTCGTATAGAATTATACCACGTATAGGTATATTATGCTATGTACAGCCAAGAAGTTGTAATAGATACCTATATCTATATATTTTTAGTAGCAGTAGAGCTCCGAAAGAGCTTGTCCAGGGAAGTACTGCCACCTTACCTATTCTGCCGCCAAGCAGTATTGTCAGCATTACTGTATTCCGGTTTTGAAGGGTAAGGGTGCTGGTGATATTACAGGCACACGGGACTTGTCAACTTATGTATCAGGCATTCAAATTATGACCATAGGGTATCTAGAAAAGTACGCGTTTTAATACAAAACAAAAACATACTTGCTTGGGCCTGAAGCGTGTAATTATATTTAGTACATTCTAAAGTAATTGAGCGTTTAGCGCTTTTCCCACTCTACTTTGTTGTGGATCTTAGGAGGTTATAGTGACAAGATCAAGACTTGAGTCTTTAAGTTGAATATTGTTATATAATTATGATAGGAGTACTGTATAATAATATGGTGACGTCATTTTATGCGAAATAAAGAAAAGAACTTGCTAATCCCCCGTGAAGTTAAGCACTGCCTGGAAAAATGTTACGTCAAACGTAATTTGAATTTGTAGAATAGATTTGCGGTTACGGCCCGCTGTTAACACAGCAAGAAGATTTACAGACTGGTAGGTACGTTTGCAAAACATAGATTTTTTCTTATAAAAATATTCATTTATGATGACAATATTTATTTGAACCACTGGTCACTCGAATAAGAACGTTTGATCGAAATGAAAAGACGATAGAAGTTTTTCTTTTTTTTTAAATTAAACGTTCTGGTATTTGTGGCCAGTATGGAACATTATATTGTGCCTCGACTGGTCATAAGATTACAAAAAGAAGTGACATTTTGTCGCCTTACTTTCTCAAACTCGTATCTTAAAGCACAAAGTACCTGGAATGCAAAATATGCATTGTATATACAAATTTGCTGGCTGATTTAATATCACATTTTCTTCATATTTACACACTGGGTCTTACCTATTTTTAAAGAAATGCATCCAAATTAACACTCTTGATACGCAATTTAAAATAAACAGAAACTTTAATAATCACTCTTTAAGACACGTGACTGAGAAAGTAAGGCATCGATTTAGTATACCACGGAACACTGCTGTTCAGTACGTTACATAGAAAATTAGCAAAAAGAATGACTTCAATAGATTTCAATCAAACGTTCTGGTGACCAGTGGTTCACATGAACGTTCTTATTATAACGCAAACTTTTTTTAATGGTGTTCCTTTAAATATGTCCATAAGTACATATGTTTATACCGTCAATGGAAGATTAATCATTAAGTTGAAGCAAGAAGCATATACCGCAATGGTGAGTTTTTAATCTACAAGTTTCAAAGCCATGAAAAAAGAATAAGATAAAACTACCGATAAATAATTCTGTGGCATTGTATAGTACGTACCTATTCATCAAATTGAATATGTAAACAGTGTGTTGTACTCTAGAGGTAAATCGACATATTTGATCAAATTAAAGTTTTTTTAAACTATTATTATTTAGTAGCGTACAGTTTACTCGCTCAAAGTGAATCAATTATCGATTATTATCTCGTGAAATGTTTGTTTTAATTTTATAATTTTTAAGAATAATTAAATGACTTTTGAAAAAAAAAATGTTGTAAGTTTCACTTTGGTAGGCAAAGACTATGAACCGCAACACTCCTGACATGCTCCTGAGAAATCTTTTTCGTTTCCACCACTTGCACCGCAATAGAATTCATTCTTGATTTTTTTTTTTGAAAATTCACTGGGTATTTTAACTGTAGCCTATAAATTGCATGGAATTAAATGTAAACCGTAAATACTAAGGGCAACGTGCTCTGTACAGTGTAGACGTCATGTGTTTTTTTCTATAAGAAAATCGACACGTCCTAATAGAGGCGAGTCATCAATATCGTGCCGCTTTCTAAATCGTACCACTTCTAGATAGCCTACTAAATGGCTAGTTTCTTTTACACCGGTAGCACCAAATCATGCTCCCTGTAATTCCCCCAATAGCCCGCCATTTCGAGTCGGCATCTATCAAGAACTGTGTGTACAAGCGAAAAAAATATTTTAATGTAGAGTTCGATCTCAATTTTCATATTAATTTGTGAGGACGTAACGCGTGACGAAAGATAAGCAAAAATAACGATGTGTACATACTTTAACCACAAAATGAAACTAGTTTATTGAAGAATTTTGCGAATTGTCCAGTTTTAAGGTTATGTTTCTTTATTCTTTTTTCAAAAAATGATCTAGTTCATTAAATTGTACCACCCGCAGTTAACCCGTTTTTAAATTATACCGGTACGATTTAGCAGACCTGTCAACAAAACACTATACAGAGAGCTGTAGAAAAACATCCAGTCTTTACAAAAACCAACTAGAAGTAAAGGCAAGAAAGCCGAAGAAAACTAAAATAAAACTAAAATAAGAAAAAATGTTAGACCCAAGAGTTACCAAAGAGCAAACAAAGAAAATAAGAAGCAAATAGTGATTTGAGAATATTTGTGCAAAATGCAATCGTTGTTAGTGATAAAAAGGGTCCAAAAGTCGACTGGATTCAATGTACTCGTTGTCAAAGGTGGCTGCACGAGACATGCACTTTTAATCTAGACATTTGTGTTAGCTGTTTCCATATACCTATTGGTCTTTTTTTTCTTAAATTGAAGTGGCAAGTATAAGTTTTATTTCATCTTTTATAATATAACTTTGCGTTTAATTTTTTAATGATGTCAAAAAAAATATTTTGTTAAAAAGTTTGTTTATTTTTTTCTACTGGTACGATTTTAATTCCTGTGGTACGTTTTAAACAACTAGTTGGGTAAATCGTACCGATGGCAAATTTCTGCAAAAATATATACCTATATTTTGCAGAAATTTGCCATGTTATAAAAAAAGTAATACACTAGTTTCTCTGACTGTAGTGGCCAAGATATTGAACTTCATTGTACGTATTCGTTCATCTGTGTAAGTTGCTTTACAAACGAAATACCCGAGTGTAAAGCAAAACTGGTACTATATAACCGACTCTTCCTTAAGGAAGAGTCGGTTATATTGTACCAGTTTTATTTTGCTTTACTGCTACTGAATAAACTTGAGGATCTGGAATAAGTCTATACCAACACTGTAATTTTTTTTGTGTAGAAACTAATTTCTTTAGAACACTGTAATTTTTTTAGTGTAGAAATTAGTTTCTACACTAAAAAAATTACAGTGTTGGTATAGACTTATTCCAGATCCTCAAGTTTATTCAGTAGCAGTATAGCTCCTTGTGAAAGAGTTCGTCGAGGGAAGTACCTGCTGCCATCTTACCTATTTCTACCGTCAAGCAGTAATGCTCAATGGGTTCAGGTTTTGAAGGACAAAGACGCTGGTGGAATTACAGGCACAAGGTACTTGTCAACTTATGTCTCAGGATGTCGAGCGTAGTGACAGCGCCCCGCAGGTATTTGTGATTTAAAGCCCTGACCTGAATGGCACAGCAACTGCCGTGGAAAGGGGTGTCCCTTACCACCAAGCGCACAATTTATTCGTCTCGTCACTTGGTGCCATAAAAAAAGACTTATTTTGAATAGGTACTCGTGTTTATTCAAAAACTTTATAAACAGGTATGATAATAGAGCTTTTTTTTACAGTTGTTCAGGATTGCGACTGTCATCCAGCTCCTTTGACATATTTTCTATATTAAAACTCTAGCGGTCAGAATTTAAACGCGTGTCTTCCATATTAAAACTGTGTACCTAATGCCAAAATTTTATTGCGTGATATCCATATTCAAACTAATGCCAAAATATTATTGTGTGATTTCCATATTCAGGCTCTAATGCCAAAATTAATTGCGTGAATTCTATATATATTAAAGCTCTAATGCCAAAAGTTAATTGCGTGTCTTCCAGATTAAAGCTCTAAGGGTCAAAATTTAATTGTATGTTTTCCGTATTAAAGCTCTAACCCAAAATTTAATTGCATGATTTCCATATTAAAGACATCAACGATTAAAACTTCTTAATTTGAAAATTTTTCTGTCAATTCATGGAAAGAATAGAAATTAATTTCCAGTTTCTGTTTTTTAAGATAGCTTTATTATAAATATTTTTTTCCATCAACATTGATGAATATAATTAGTTTTAGATATTCTCACACATTATCAAACCAGTCTTATTCAGACCATCAAAAGGATAAACGTTGTCATTATCCAGAAAAAAGCGGATTAAGAGGTCTGTTTCATTGCTATTAATTATCCAGAATGGCAATCAGCTTAATTCCCCCAGTAATACACGAATAAAAACAATAAGAGCGGCGGGCGGGGGCACAAATATCACTTTGATATCGGCTCGTTTGATTCGTTGTGACGCGCGACGCCTTAAGGCGGGGCTTACACGGAGAGGGGGCCGCTAGCGCAACGCTGCCATACCTCTAGAACCCACGATCGGTGGTACTCGTGTCCGCGCGAACTCTGATTCCCAACGTCCTGTCGAACGACCCGCGTGTTCTTTTTTCTCAAGTTTCGTTCGTATGTTTCGCGCGTGTGTTGCCTTGTGAACTGAGCCCGTTTGAGGCGTATTGTAGAACGGTCGTTGTGAGAAAACCGCCAAGATTCGGGTGAAGAATCGTGAGCCGGTGCCGGCGTACGCCATGGCCGACGCCGACCGTGACTCGGACTTGGGCGACGACAGTCCCGTGGTGAGTGTTTGCCTTTATTTTTCGTTACTCGTACTTATCAAATTTCGAAACGTGAACAGTTTATGTTCGACGATTAACGACATATAAATAATAAGTACCACTGACTTGACGCAATAACTACATTGTTACTAAATTAGAGTTAAAAACGTTTCAATTGCGTTAAAACATTGGTACTTAGGTACCTAAAGTGGTGCATATAACCAGTACTTCAATGGTATATCAATTGTATAAAACTGTAGGTACGCTTACTCGTATTATTGCAAATACAATTTTTTCACCATGCTTATTTTAAAGAAAATAACCTGCTGCAGTAAATAAGGACACGGTTTCGTCGTTCAATTCATAGGGTTTTAAACAAAAAAAATCTACCTACCTACTTTGAAAAAGTGCATTGTTTATAGACAAAACAATATGACCATGTTGTTGGGCCGGCCGGCCGGCGGCGAATTGCAGTATTTCAACGCATTGCAATATATTAGGATTTGCAAAATAATTGAATTATTTGTTAAAAAAATAAAACACCATGATATTATGTAAGTATTTTATTCTGTTTATTTATAAAGATAGAAAGGTCTGACGGTAAGTACATTCATAGCTTAAATCTGAGACGACGATTTAGTAAATTTTTCGTATTATTACTAAGTAAACTCAAAGTTTTATTTAATTTTTTGCTGAAACTTAAGGAAAGTTCGTTTTTTAAATACGAAAAACTTGCTTTACTCGTCATTTTTGTTTAGTTGAAGTGAAACTTTCTTTCTATAAAGTATAAATTAGTGCCTTATTTTAGGTCGGTCTCTGATTTTTTCAATATCGTTATCATACAGTAATGGTATTGGAATCGCTGTCCGTCACAGTTACAGTGCCATTCAGTGTTTTAATTCACAAAGATCTGAGGATCACCCTGAGACATAAGTTGACAAGCCCCATGTGCCTGTAATTTCACCAGCACCCTTTAAAACCGGAACGCAGTAATGCTCACATTACTAATTGGCGGCAGAAATAGGTAAAGAGGCAGTAGTTCCCTCGATGAACTCTTAGAATCAATAGCATGGTATCTTAAATTATTGTACGAGAAGTATTGTAAGATAGGGTTGAACGTTAGCGAGCGCCCTTACTAGTTTTAAACAAAACTACATGCCAGACGCTGCGTCGTCTACCGGATTTAATTTTCAAATATTATAATAAAAGAATACAGGCAAAAGTATGAAGAGAAATATGAGCAACAATTTTTAAACTATATGTGTGAATGGTCGAGTCAAACGTTAAACGTTCCACTGTTACGTACGAATTTCCTCGAAAGAGAGGGTGTAGGCCATATTCCGCTATGCGGGCGTGTATTGAGACCGTCATCCCTTAGAATAAGGTCAGAAATTGTACGACACTATATCGTATTTGAGAAACAATTAGATCTCAATGCTTTTTTATATAATTCATGGATCTTTTACACTTAACAAGTGATAGAGGCGGTAAATAGAACTACCTACAGTAGTTTTTTAAGAGGGTCTGCCTACTCAAGTTGAAGATAGACTTAATTTCAAGTATTTTATCTTCATTAATGAACCAATTGGGAAGTTATTTTAAAAATTGTGTTTATTTTTTAGTCTCATTGGAATCTTGTTAGCTTGTTATCTTTCATTTTGTTATGTAAACTAACTAGGTGAGTACTGCCTTTGTTTAGTTAGATTAAGCACTTGTTAGATTACTACTTAGGTATTATAAAATTTAATAACGATTACGTGATTAAATACAAACTAGGAACTTAATATGCCGTTAAGAACTACTACGAAAATCTAATCTTGTTAGAACGACTTATTTGTTATGATATAGAAGAGATGTTTACTTTCATATTACTAATTATGTGGTGCTTACACACAAAATATAAATTTATGTCATATACCTATGTACAGTGTAGTACCTATATAATAAGGCAAATTTAAAAAAAGTTTAAGTTTGATAGTTCCTGACCAAGTTAAAATAACCAGAATGATGTAAAAACAAAAATTGGAGGAACTGCCGCAAAAACCGATCCCAAACGTTTATAGCAGGAAATAAAATATCACATAACTACCACAAAGTACAACACATTTTAGCAAAATATACTTTTTAATCACATTCAATATGGTTCAAAATGAATTAGGACAATGTCTGCAAAACATTTTGAATTTCGAATTTGGAAAAAAGAAATGTCGCACACGTGTTGCCAGCGTTCGGCGGCGGCATTTGACAAAATGGCGCCGATATGATTATTAATAACAAATCCGCCCTTTTCAGTTTATAATGTGGACCCTTTTACCATGTGTGTGCGGTCTGTCTAGGAAATATGAATAATTATTTATCTTGCGGATAAATTCTTGTTCCTTTTTGTGTTAAAGTTTGTTCTTTGACTTGGGCATTTCCCTTTAACTTGACCTACCCTGAACGAGGGATGACAATTTTATTATCGTGTGGTTTACGTATATTTATTTATTTATGATTTAAATATTTTTTATTTTTGTGTGGTTTTATGAGAATAACAACACTCATCTTTTGACTTTTAACTTTTTTTCGTAGATTGTAAGAGGTTTATTAACACTTTTCAGTCCACAAAGTAGACAATACACAGAGTATTTACTAAGTCATGTAAGTACATATTTGGTAATACTAATAGTTAGTTAAGTGTAGTCAAAGAGTTGTCTCCTTGCATCTCTAAAAATTTTAAACAATTATACGTTACTTTCTATATATCTGCCTGCTGTTGAAAGTATTTATTTTGTGCAGATTCAGAGACTTTGCCAAAACGTCGTGCAATTCCATCTCTTTGATGGTGCTTTGATATTCAAATCTGCTGGTTTCATTAGGACGGAACGTCTCTATTCTACCTGTTATAAGAGATCATTAGGGGTTTATTTCGGGATGATAATATTTGCGTTAGTCAATCATTTATACCGTTGCGTCAGTGACATCTCACGGGATGGCACGATTTATTATCCACTGAATTAGGGTTGACATACGATATTATTAGCATTAACGAGCACTAAGGATTCTCAAGATAATAAGTACTATAATTTGAGTAGAATAATAACCCCAAATCTAAGGATCAGATAACTGTTAGAGCGCAGTTGTTACATATTAAATTTAAAGTAATGTTTTTTTTAAGCAACGCGAATAATGTATTATCTAGTTATTGCTTAAAAAAGACATTGTAAAAATTATATAAATATATCAGTACGTCCGTACAAAATGTAAACGTACATTAATTGAAATTTAAGATAGGTAATTTAAATATTTGTGACAAGTAAAGAAATGGCAACCCTACATGGAATCGTCGGTGAATAGAAGGCAAGCACAAATTAATTAATCAAGCCTAGCTGTCAGTCAGATCACAATCACGGCTAAAGTTAGCAACACTCGGATCGCAGCCAGCTTCCTTTTCCTGTCGACAAGGCGACATTTCATTATGGAAATAATTGGCGGTTTCACTGTATAATTATTTTTTGATTTATTTTTTTACGTTGACAGCACTTTTCTGAGCTCAGGTTAATTTTGATCATGATGTGAAAAGTTGTTGATGTATTCAACTTCTTATTTTGAATTCGTAGTTTATTCAAATTGTCATTATATTTATACCTATGAAATTAGTGTTCTATTAAGCATGTTCGATACGCATCATATAATTTTATTTTAATGTTACCATTTCATAAGAAATGTATCACGTCTTTTGCTTATTCTTATTTCGAAAACTGTTATTCAAAGATATTTTCAAAATACATATTAAAATATCTTAACAAAAGTTCACTTAAATCTATGTCCATAAACCGACAATAGTCCCTTACAACGCAAATTTTAACAAAATGATATATTTTTTCAAACCTCATTCAATCGCACCTATAAGTATGCGTGTGTCGAAAACTGACGGCAGGTGTGTTGTTACCATTACCTTACCTGGTCGCGTGCTATGGTAGGGTTCTACCGGTGACGTCATACCCCCGTGAATGAGGGCTTTTTTGTTATAGAACGAAACGCACCCAATGGGGTTATCATAGGCCATATTCTTGTTATAATATAAAATCTAGCACCTGAATTAGACGAAATATGATGCCTATGAGATGAGGAGCTGCACTTAACTTTGTAATTTTCAGTATTAGGAAATTCGTTTCACATTTTTTTTATGATACCAAGTGACGGGACGAACAAGTCGTGCGCCTGGTGGTAAGCGACACGCCTGTTCGTAACAGTAGCAGTGCCACATAGAGCTTTAAATTATAAAAATTTGAGTTCGTCCGCCACCCTGAGACGTGAGTTGAAAGTCCCATGGGCCTGTAATTTCAATAGCATCATTACCCTTCTAATCCGAAACGCAACAAAGCTCAAAATAATAATGCTACTTGGCGGCAGAAATAGGTAAGGTGGTAGTACTTGCCTAGACGAATTCTTTCACGAGGTGCTCTACTGCTATTATTATCTACAAAATATGTAGTTTAATTGTATCCAATCAATTTGACTTAGTATATAGAATAATATTCCTGTGTTGTCCAATGTGCACAATTTTTTTATAATTCATTCGATTAAGTTTCGTTTCGACTAAATGAATCATATTTTTGAAATAAAATTTCTGAATTCGAAATTCGGCTGTTTACTAAGTTTATAAGAAACCAGAAAAATCATTCAGTTTTGACATAAGTCACATGTTAACATTTTCTTCATCCTTTTACGAAGCACTTTTAACCTCGCACTAGAATCAATCTTTTACATCGATTCATTTGATTATTCGGAATAAAATTTGCATACAAATATGAAGGCTGACTCGACAAAAGGTTGTCACCGATCTTTACAAGAATCGATCATTTATCTTTGATCTTACTCTCTTATTCAATAATATATAATCGGAAATTGTATTGACATTCAATATTTATAAAGGAAACGTTGCGTGGGTTACAGTTCGAATGTCACATCGTGATGTAATAATGTATATTTGGAAGTATCTCTTGACTAGTCGGTCTCCATATTTGCAATTAGAATTT